AAATTTCTACATAAATTTAAAGAAAATTTCAAAATGTGGCAAGGACGATCTACCTGCCTCATATGGGTCCACCACCATACGAATCTATACCAATGAAAACGGATTGGATATGTGAGTGTGTTAAGACATGGCGCAACTTCAAGTCATGTATGTGTACCCTACACTTATTTTTTGTTTCTGTCCGAAGTTACATGTTTGTAAGCACTAATATATGTAACAATGGCATCACAGCCACATATTCCAATGAATTAAATGCCAAAATCAAGCTATCAACAAATATATGTAAAACAAGAGTAACACTATCTAGCATCACTGGTGTTTAACACCAGTTTATGTTGCAACACTAATGACATTAAATTACATGTTCAATTAAATGCATCACACAATTTCACTTTTAAATGAATATAGTACGTAATGCCACATAGATTGGTCGCCTGGTGCTAGAAAACATTATTCTTAAAACAAACACATCTCATAGTCTAAATTAAATTTTCATTTTTGTTGAACAAATTTTCAGTTGAACAAGAATTTGTCCATCCCTTCACAGCATTAAGATCAGTTGAATCAATGTTGATTCACGAAGTAAACGATTGAAGAGGGAACACGCTTAATGATCAAAATTTTACCTCCAACACACCCCCAACACCATGTAGGCACATCTAAAGTTTAAGATGTCAAAAAGGGAAGGCATTTTATTCATCTAAATTTTTACCTTCAACACCCCTTCTCATGTACCAATCTAGTTTGAACATTGATAACGTGGTTTTAGATGTCTCCGCCCAAAACCAATTGATTTTCATGCAAAAATGCCATAGCGCAGAGATTCAAGAAGCTATCCTCCAATACTATGATAAGCTCACCTCATTAAAAAGCTTACACCGTAAGAGAAAGGATACACTTATTATTAAATTTGGCCTTCAACAAACCTGATTCATGACATTTTCATGAAGAACCCAAGGAACGCGTTCAGAAAATATAGCAGTAGGTAAAATAATATCAAGATGGAATGAAAATGACTACCACTCAACTATTATTCAGGGAACAAAACCTTTTCGATGTCATAATTTGTACTTTTTCATGGATGCAAATATAGTCATCTTGAGGAAGAATTTTATTACAAAAGGAATATAATCTTCCTCGAGTAGGGTAACAAAAATTGCTGCCATTGATCACGATGAAATGAAAAACTCCATTGAAAGGATAAAAATGTATGTTTATTCTCTTACGTTTTACATTTGAGGAAACTCACCAACAATGGAGTAGGCTGTTGATCAACATGGAACCTTATTGGTTAGTTAATTGGCGAATAACATACGGAAGTATACCACCGTGGTTGAAATAAGCTAACTCTACCTGAAAGATGCAATAGACAATCTTTAGTAAAAAAAAAACAGTTACATAAAAAGGGGTTTAAACAATCTCAAAAAATAAATAAATAAATAAAATAGACATTTGGGGAAGATATGTATTCATGGCCATCAGAACATTGGAATTGAAATTCAAATTTTTTTATTTTCCATTAGATGTTGAGAACTGTTATTCTAGGTTGGTGCTTAGTGCGCAAAAAGAGGGACAATAAAATTCATTAATTTGAAATAAACAAGGAAGAGAGCATAAAAAGGAAATTGAAACACAAAGAAGTTGCATTTCAATATTTGGCATCATTTTCATTTAAGAAAGTCTCATACTTGTCAAGAGAGGCAACATATATTGACTAGAAATTGTCTATCCCAGATGAAAATTGTTTAGACACAATACTCCTGTATAACTACATAAAGGAGAATAAAAGTAGATAGACATACCTCAGTATCAAAACGGACAGTGCAAGTGAAGGATTTTCCACTGTCAGTCTGGACAGTAACATCTTGACCGGGCCGGATATCCGAGATTTTGTTAGGAAGATCAATGGTGTAACGCTCATGACCTGTCAATCCTAGTGTGTCTGCATCCTCACCAGACTTGAAACATAAAGGAATAATGCCCATCCCCACAAGATTACTACGATGGATCCTTTCAAAGCTTTTGGCAATCACTGCTTTAACTCCCTGTGATATAAATTTTTTAATTAAATTGCAATAGTTTAAATAGTTCCCTTTTGGAAGAAGAAGTGGAAAAAACAAGTAATGCAAGAAGCCATAAAAGAGACTTACCAACAACATTGGCCCCTTGGCAGCCCAATCTCGGGAGCTTCCGCTTCCATACTCTGCACCAGCCAAGACAACAGTGTCCTGTCCGGCAGATTTGTATCTCTGAAAGTTGCATATTGGTCAAAAGGAATTAGGATCGAATAGAAACTTGTGGTTGTGGTAATAAAATACAGCAGAAAGGATGAGCTGAAAATACTCAAACAAATGATTTACAAACAAGAAATATATTGTGTCACACAGATATGAAATGAGTTTTAGAAAATCACCATTGCAGCATCAAAAACATAAAGTTTTTCTCCTGTGGGAATGTGAACTGTCATTGGAGCAACTTCCCCATTCAATAACTTGTTCACAAGACGGATATTTGCGAAAGTTCCCCTAGCCATTATTTCATCATTACCACGACGACTGCCATAGGAGTTGAAATCCTTGCGATCAACCCCATTCTCCATAAGATACTTGGCAGCTGGACTATCCTTGTGGATGCTTCCGGCTGGTGAGATGTGATCTGTTGTAATGCTATCCCCAAAGTTGAGCAGGCAGTACGCATCTTTCACTCCATGTGGACCAGGAGGATCCATGGTCATATTCTTAAAGTAAGGTGGCTCATGAATGTAAGTAGAATTTGAGTCCCATGAGTATAACTTGGAAGTGGGCACCAATAGTTGATTCCACATGGGATTACCCTCCGTGATGGCTTCATATGTGCTCTTGAACATATCAGGTAATACACTAGATTGAACTGCCTAAAAACATAGTTTTCATCTTACTGGATTGTATTTGAGAACTAAAGTTTTCATCTTACTGGATTGTATTTGAGAACTATAAAATTTAATAGTCAGTGAGTACATAATAAATGCATACCTCTGCAATCTCTTCAGTTGATGGCCAGATATCCTTGAAATAGACATCCTTACCATCCTTACCTACACCAATTGGCTCTTTCTCAAAGTCAATGTCAACCTGCAAAAATAGTACAACGACAAGTAAAATTTGACATCCCCTAATATGAGACTTCAGGCAAACAATGGTAGGAAACACCAGGCACAGATCTCAAAAATTGATATGTTCTCAATTTCATCTTAAATTCAGAAAACAGCTCCCATAAGTCCCATATAAACCACCAACCCAAAAAAAAAAAAAAGAGATAAAACTGAAAGGAAAAGAAATCGTATATCAGCTTCCAATATAGACAAACTTGTCAGTAATTCAGTATCAAATTCGTGATAATGAACTCCCCTCCCCAACCATCATTCTTGTCTTTCTCACGACAAATAAACGTGAAACAATTAGAATAAGTTGTTTCAATCCTTCTTATCGTATGATTAGGCAAGTATCCTTCCAGTTTAGTTAAATGACGTCTTCATCCCCTGTCTAATAGAACCCACTTTCGGATGCCTGAATATATACTTTCACGTTCAAATTTAACTCATTTCTCAAAGAACATAGTGAAGAACTGTAGCCACGTATTATTTAGTATTTTCTGACCGTGCCAGCAAGTGCATATGCAACCACTAGAGGAGGAGAAGCAAGATAGTTTGCTCTTGTCAGGGGATGGACACGACCCTCAAAGTTCCGATTCCCAGATAGCACAGCAGATGCAACAATGTCTGCAAAACATCAGATTTTCAGCTAGATAGCAATCAGTTTCACAGACACTTGAAGGACTGAATAGATATTGAAGTTGCTGAACTTAATCAAACTTGTTTTATGGTTTATGGCATTCATAAGAGACCAAAAGCATCTTTAAAATACCATTTTCTGATACAGCAACAGCTACTGATTCGTCCAAATCTCCAGAGTTTCCTATGCACGTTGTGCAGCCATATCCGACAATGTGGAAGCCTTGCTCATTTAAGTATTTCTGTAGCCCACTTCATCATCCAGAGAACAGATATTTAGTTGACCATATGCCAACATACTGGATCATAATTCCAAAAGAAACATCACAATAAATACCTCTGCAGTAAATATTTTGTTACAACTCCAGAGCCTGGAGCAAGGCTAGTTTTTATCCATGGTTTCACCTGGCAAATTGTCACTGAGAAGTTAGCATTTAGAAGAAATGTCATATCAACTAAAAAAATTGATAGAACAGGGAAAACCTGTAAACCCAGCTCAGAAGCTTTCTTTGCAACAAGGCCTGCCCCTAGCATAACACTAGGGTTCGATGTATTTGTACAACTCGTGATAGCAGCAATCACCACACTACCATGCTTAAGCTCCGCAGGCTGTCCATGGAATGAAAACTTGGCCACTTTTTCTTGTGCCTCCTTCGGCACTGCAAAGCCCTGCGTCGCACGTAGATTGTTAAATTAGAGTATGTGTTTACTGCAAGTGTGTTGCATAGAATAAAAAAGCATTTTGGATCTTTGTTAATCAAGTAAGCTAAGTTGCATGGACAGAGACATGCAACAGGACACAACACGATATGGACACAGCCACAGGTGATTTTCCTAAAAAGTAGGACATTACAAGTCGGGGACACATCGATTTAACTTCTTTAAAATTTTAAATTCATATATCATATCTTTATTTTTACACTTCTTTAAAATTTTAAATTCATATATCATCTCAAAAAATTGACTGAGAAATGATCCTGAAGTATCCCATTTGAGTGTTAGAAATTTAAAATATATATGAAAATAGGACACACCATGTGGCTTGTCAGACCCATGTCATGGAGAGTCCGAGTGCCAGTATCCGACACAACATGATACGTGCCGAACACGGACAAGAACAAGGTGCCCCCAAAAGAGTATCTGTGTATCATAGCAAGATAGTCTGCTGCAATATTATATCTAAATGACTGAATAACACCGTGAAGTCTCTAATTACACATTTACACTATACGAATTAAACGATAAATTGCGTCAATGATAAAAACGTTAAACTTAAGAGAGATCGAAATAAATATAAAGTTATTAGCCTTGAAAAAACAACAGAATGCAATGCACAAAGCATGGAATTCTCACCTTGAATCCAACTTTGTTATCAAGGCATGAATGCCAATCAGCCTTCATTTCTTTCAAAGGGACACGATCATGAGGTCTATGTAAAATATAATAACTATAGTTAGCTATCACCAAAAATCTGCAAATTGAAAAGTTCCTAAACACAGAAGCCATAACACACACCTCTTTGGCCCTGAAATACATGGTTCCACATTTTCCAGGTCCAGATGCAAGTAAGATGAGTAAGCTTTTTCTTGTTCAGGCTGACATTAGGAGAATAAAAAGATGAAAGTAGCCTCGACAGGTAAAAAGAATATAAATAAAGCTTTTGATCTTAGATTGAAACTTGGAATAAAAGGTACTAAAGTCAAAAGGATAGGCTATACCTCATTGTAGTCAACAAACATTTTGTTTGCACGCAGATAAGCTTCTATCATTGACACCTAGATATTAGCACACAAGAGATTATTATATTTACAGACAAACAGAGGCGTTAGGCATAATGTGATAATCATTTCTTTCACGATTTTCATATATATAACAAAATGTACTCACAGTGTCATCACTTCTACCAGTTAATTTGAGATATTGTAAAGTCACGTGATCTACAGGGAAGAATCCCATAGTAGCACCATACTCAGGGGACATGTTTGCAATGGTCGCCCTGTCAGCTAATGATATTTCACCCACACCATCACCTGACAAGTAAGCATAACCCATTAGGTCCTCTAACATTGCTACAGCATCTAAGTTAGTCCAGGTTCAGTAATATTACCATAAAATTCAACAAATTTTCCAACAACACCATGCTTCCTTAGCATTTGTGTAACAGTTAAAACCAAGTCAGTAGCAGTGACACCATTTCTCAATTGTCCAGATAACTTGAATCCAACAACACCCGGCAACACCATACTCATTGGCTGTTAGGTAGAGACAACAGCATTAGATAAATTTGCAGCATTCTCATACACATATTGCATCAGCCGTTAAGAGCATCGAGCTGAAATGTTTTATCAAAATTCTGACACAAGCGGCACTTTTGAGAAACTAATTTGAAATATATTTGGAATAATCTAACGGTAGATAAGGAAAATTGAGGAAAAGAGAAGGGTTCTTAAATTTCTAAAGCACGGATCAGTGCTGCTTTTAGAGTAATTTTACAATAACATACAACAAGAAAATATAGTGGTACCTAAAAATTAAGCCTATTATCTACTATAGGTGTCTTATTCTACAGAAACAAATCTTTGCATATATATGTGTGTGCAAAGATTTGTGATTCTCAGTCAAGAATCATCATGGGACGTGACAATTAGTACCTGACCGAGCATTGCTGCCTCTGCTTCAATACCTCCAACTCCCCAACCGGCAACTCCTAAACCATCAATCATGGTTGTATGAGAATCTGTCCCAACAACACTATCTGGGTAGAGCATTCCATCAGTACTGAAAACAACCCGTCCTAGATATTCAAGATTGACCTAAAATGGCAGCAAGGGAAATGACTCAGTTATATCATTTCATGTAGGTATCAACGGGCATACAAATGATTGAAGTAGAAAGCTAACCCAAATGAATTAATATGTTTTATATGCAAATCATTAAATGAGTGAAACAAAAATAGATTTAATCATTTAAAGAGTATTAGTAATGATGCTATTTAAGCTCCAATACCTGATGCACAATACCAGAACCTGGAGGAACAACAAGCATATTGTGGAAGGCCTTAGATCCCCACTTAAGGAAAGCAAATCTCTCCTTGTTTCTCTTGAATTCAAGCTCCATATTTGATTGGACAGCATTTTCCGACCTAGCAACATCAACTTGGACTGAGTGATCAATAACTAGATCTACCGGAACCTGCAAGCCACACATAGGATATTGAAAACAGCAAGCACCTGCTAATAGAAAAGGCAGAAAGAACATTTGAAGATGATAATCCATTAAGAAAAATCCAAGTGGCAAGTTATTAAAACTGAAAAGTAATCTTCCAACAAAAACTTAGTAAATTTCATTGATTTTCTGGGATTTCACGGAGGAAACTGAAATGCTAAGAACAGTTATTACATAAAACTTGTGAAAATTAATGTCCACCCCCACCCCAGAAATCAAAGCAAAAATATTTATAAAAAAATGAGGCAAATAGACATATAGATGTACAAGGACAGCCATCTGTCTTAAAACTCCAACTCCAATTAAGCTATCTTAGAATCTTCTCAGTGAGGATAGCTGAACACATGTATGCCCAAACGTCCGCAATTTGAAGAAGTAACTCTCAGAGGTCAAGCAGACTTCTGATACAGAACTTTATGCTAGATTTTGATTTGCAAGAATACCTTATAGTATAGAGTTTTATGGGATCCTTAGAATGTCTTGTTTACATTCTTTAATTTAAAGGTTTATTGAGAGGGGGAAAAGCAAAAATACTTCATCAACCAAAAACATTTACCAAACAAACATGACAGTGGCTGGTTCTGTGGACTTTGATGCACTAGCACCTTGTATTTGCCACATAAGAGTTGGTAGAAACTCTTGGTAATATAAGCATTGCTGGGCAAAACGGGGTCATACTAGCAGGAAACTATAGCAGAAAGAAATTTAATCTTGAACGCACTTGCCAATGTTAGTTACTGAAGCAGAAAATAAACCAATGCAACACTATGCATACCAATGGATTGATCTTGCTAGAATCACTACCGAGCTTGTTCATAGCATCACGCATGCAAGCCAGGTCAACCACCGCTGGTACACCTGTGAAATCCTGGAACCAAAGAGATCATTTGGATGAAAACTGCTGTTTCATTATCACAGCTGTCTACATTGAGCAATCAAGACCATTACCTGCAGGAGTACACGAGCAGGCTTGAAGGGTATTTCAACTGACTTTGGGGAAGTATTTTCCCAGTCTATAATCTTTTCAACATCTTCCTTTGTTACTTGAAAACCGTCACAATTACGAATTGCAGATTCAAGAAGGATTCGAATGGAGTAGGGAAGCTTATCTGTGTTAAAGTATAAAGACAAGAAGCCCAATAATATAATGCAAGTCAATTAATTTACCAGATATTAATATGCAAAAAGCATTTATCAAATGGATATATTAATTGTATATTGAAAATAATTTTGCAAACAGGAGTATTTCATGGTGTATTGAAAATTACCAATCCTGGAGTCATTTAGAGAAGGCAGGCTATAGAACTTCCCGAATTCGCCGCCTCCTGGCTTGGGAAGACTAGTAAGGATTCTCTGGAAAGCGTTCTCGGATGCTGAAATCATACATCTTATTAGGACAAGTACTTGATAAAAACATCCACAAAAATAAATGTTTGGCGATGAATAAGAATATATTAAAGCTGTGTTTTAATCGTTTTGCCAAGCAACTATAACTTATTAACTACACATTCCTAAAAAGGCCGAGAATTTAGCATGCGGAACTTATCAAAATACAAAACATACTAGCTACATGATGTAGAAATTCAAATACTTGATTTATCTCCCAAATATTGTTACATTTATCAAGTCATTTTAAAAAGTTTTGTCAACGTATGTAAGGCTAACAAAATTTTTTTTTTTTTCAATGTTAGCGCAGAATTTCTCAAAGATAAGCAATTGCATCAGATTAAAATAGGATTAAGAAGTAAACCAGTATTTGCCTTCTTTCCAAAATTTTATATGACAGTCAACTTGAGTTCACAAGTCAAGGACTTGGATCAACCCATTCACTTCTATCCCACGCGTGGTGTTAATAAATTGATAGCAAATGAAAAACAAAAACAAAATAAACTATATGATCCAATCTGTATCAGTAACAGAATGCAACCGATTCCAATAGACAAAGAGAAGCATAAAGATAAAAGTACCGACCCATGGTAGCGATCTTGCGATTGAAAAGGGGAGTAGCAGCAGAGGTGTGTCTGATCTGAGCGGTGAGGCTGGATGGAGAATTCCAGTCAACACCGTGGCTCCACCGCGGCAGGACGGACCTCAGATAACTCAAATTGCGAAAAGTAGCACTAGAAACAGCAGAACTACCATTACAACAAATGGTTTTTCTAGAGAGAGAAGAAAAGATTCGTTTGCTTGTAGCACTTGAAGAAGAAGAACGAGAGGCTCTCCTGAGCAATGAGGAGGTGGCAGTAGTTATATGCATGATTTGTGATCACATTCAAACAACAATGACGATGCAACTGTAGAGGGATAAGGATTGAATTGAAGGATTACGATGGAGAAATAGAGTTTTGTGTGAACAGATCAATGCGTGTGGAGAGCAGAGGGAAATGGCCTAGGGTTGTGTGCCGCAGAGAATCGGCCGCAGTCGAACATGGCGTTTCGTTCTAGTTTCCATTTTTATACAGTTGGTTTCGAAGGCGTGGAATTTGGATTTTCAATTGACAAGGAAAATTTGCATACGTCTTATAATAATTTTTTTTTTTTTAAAAAAAAGGGTTCCAAGGAAATTTGCAACATTGGTCCTTATTCTTTTAATTTCATATTATTGATGGTCTTTAATTTATGGTTCCATCAATTTGACCTGTAAAAAATGATCACGTATAGGCGAAAATCATTTTTAGGTACTTGATGGATAGTGAGGATGCAAATTTAAATTTTACAAAATTAGTTAATAATGTAATTCGGTTGTAAATTTTGTTAAAGTAATTTAGGTACATAGAGTTGTAATGTGTGTCGAGAATTTAGACATTAGAGCTTGGAATTGTAACCCGTAGGAATTAACTTTAGGGAAATGTTAGGGGTACATTGATGATGACATAAATGATAACATAATGTGAGTGGGGTGGGTCCCATGCTACAGTATTGTGGGCCCCACCTCCACTCACATTATGTCATCCTTTATGTTAACCCTAATGTACAAGTAGATTAATCATTAACTTTATATTGTATCATATAAAATATAAATATGTTTGCTTGTCCTATGGATATAGGAGTGGATTTGTATCAAGGGTACAGTACCTCAATATCCAAGTCAATCTCTTAGTGCACTAATAAAAGGAGTCTCGTATTTATTATTTCTCTATTTCAAGTTTGAAATAATTACGAAGTATATTGGAGTCTTTTGCAGTCAAACTCAATCTTTGTTGGGTGTACTTGAAATTTGGCTGTGAAGAGACCTCGTAATAATTTCTACGTACATACTAGGGCAAAAACGTTATTTTATAACCCATAATTTCTACGTACATACTTGAGTTTGTAAATTCTTATTTTTTATTATTGTTGTAAACCATAATAGGGCGAATCTAGAAAATAAGCTCAAATTCTTTACAAGAGATACCAAAGCATGGGTATTTCGAAGCATGGAACTTGGCATGGTAGCGTACATGCATACCTACTATCTAGAAGTGTTTTGCCTAAGGACATAGAGATCGAAAACGTATCTAGTTGTTAATATTCACGTATATATTCGTTAAACTAGGAATGTGGAATAAATATATCGAGTGTTAAATTTCATTGCAAAATTTGATGGGAGAATTAATTTTCGCTAGTAGAAAGTGCAACCAAAAGTGTTGCGTTGATATAAACAAGGTGTATGTTAGTAGGTCTAGAGATTCCTTTTTTATTTTATTTTCTTTATTTTATCTATTCTTTTCCTATTTCTTTATATTATGTTGTATTTATTTTAACTAAAACTAATGGTGTAAGATTTTACTTGTCAAAGACCAAAATTCCGCAAATTGAAAGGTTGGTAATGGTACAAGAAAAAACGGTTACAGACTAAATTGTTACAAAGGTCTATGTAAGGACTAAAGTACAATTTTTCAAAAAGTTAAGAATGTTTTTACTTAGAGTAATGCTATTTATTCCCACTGGGGATGGAAACACTGTCTATGTGGCGTTAATGTGGCATTAAATGATAGGTGAAATTAAATGAGTCATTTAATTTCACCTTTCATTTAGCCTATCATTTAAAGCCACGGAAACTGTGTTTTCATCCCCACTGAGAATGAATAACATTACTCTTTTACTTAACCTAGGTTTCTTGTAAATTCACAATAAATTTAGTTATTTAATTCATGATACCTGATAAAATTTGATTCCTTGTGAAAATAAAACCTCAAGATTAATATAGTTATTCACATTAATGGTGAGTTCTCGAGAGAATCGGTAACATAAAAACCAATTGGATTGATGGTATAATAAATCACGATCGAGATCGAGTATTCAAAAGTAATTTAAAGTAGAATTAGTAACTCTCAATTGCACATGAATAAGTTTATCGACGCCTTCAAAATCAATTCAGGCGGCCTAGGATCCCAAACCCTACAATTTGTAATCTATAATTACACTTTAATTCCCTATTTGGTTTGTTTAAAATCGGGTTTTTATTATATTTTAATAAAATTTGATGAAATATGTGATTGAAAATGAATTTGAGAAAAAAAAAAATTTAATTGGGGTCAAAGAGGAACTAAATTTCCCAAGCATACCAGAATAGCTTCGTTTTTCTCCTTGGCAAGCGCACTATTGCATGTTCAAGTGGATTATCTAAACTTTGCTCTTTTAATAGTCAAGTATAGAATCCCTTGATTCTATTTGCTCGTTCGTTTTAATTTATGAAATATGATTTGGGGATCGTTTGACATGACTTTTGCTTTTATTTTTCGTAAAAGATTTTCCTCAAAAATTTATTTTAATTTTTGTTTAAAAACGAATTTTCAAAAGGGTTTTTTATTCCAAAAGTGTATTAAGAGAAGATCACATTAGACTATCTTCCTCTAAAAATTCGTTTAATTAAAAGAAATAATTCCATAAAATTACTCAAACAGATCCAAAAATTAATAACTTTTGAATCTCAAAAATTGTTTTTGATTTTTTTAAAGTTATGACAAATGAGCTCTTAGAATGGTTGAAACTGTGTTTGACAAACAAAAATAACGGTAGAATGATGCTTTTTGTGCACCACTATCTTAAAGGATTCGTGCTTCACCGTCAAGCCTGTAAAAGGCCTGGTGCAAATGTGAGGTGGGGGAGGTGGGTGTTTAAACATTTGGGGGGTATTTTTTAATGAGGTNGGGAGGTGGGTGTTTAAACATTTGGGGGGTATTTTTTAATGAGGTTGTCCCGAGGACCCACCTCATGTTAGAGCAGGCTAATTCATCTTAAAGAATGGCTGCCATTAGTCATTCAATTATTTCCCCTTTTTTAAATACCAAATGTCCATTTTTTTCCAATTAAAAGAATGAAATGTGCTGCACGTACAGAAACAAAAACATCAGAAATGCAACTGAACACTCACACAATGGTGGGGCCCGCACATTTTTTTTTCTTTTTTAAATACACGGTGGGACCCACTGCTGCCTCTTTTATAGTGAAATTCTGGTGATTTTTTTCTGTACAAATGGCTAAAGTCTTAAAAGAATGGTTATGATTTGTCAGTTGGATTTGTCTCCTCAGACCCAACAGAGACACTTCATAAATGTTCCTACGAATCATCTTTGGGGTGCCTTTTTGGCTATTATTCTATGCATCATTCCAATCCTGTCCTAACTTTAAATGAGTGGACAAATTGACATTTTTAATATTACTGATTTCTAAAATACTTTTAATTCTTCTTGGTCGAATTCACTGTTAGAGGCTCACTGGACAATGTGAATTCTTTAACTATTCATTTAGGTATGATTTGCTTTCACATAGTATGACAACAACAAATGCTAAATCTTGTTTTAGTTAACTATACTCATGATTTTGTTTCAATTTTATGTATAGTTTGTCATGGCATTGTATGGTATAAATCTGGAGTTTTTAAAATGAGTAGATTGAGCCCGGAGCAACCCACTCGTATCAAATCAAATTCAAGTTCATTCGACCTAAATCTACTCATCTAAATATATGATATGAGCCTCCATCTTCCAAATCTAAGGATTATATTGACAACAAAGCTGCCAATATTGCAGGCTAGGTCGATTAACCCACCATGTTTTTTTCCTTTTAAGAAATCTAATAAATTTAAATTAATTCATAATTAAAAAAATTAATAAATGTTCTAATAAACGTATTGACAAATTACATTTGTAGTTATATATAAAAAAAATTATAAATTAGATTACATAGATAGTAGGGGGGCAATGTTATAATATTATTTTACAAAATTAGATTTAATAACCATTCTAATTTAATATTTCATAAAATAAAACCCATGTAATCCACTATAATATTCATCATGGTTGTTAGTCTTTGCTTGTTAGACATCTCTTTCAACGTTGTACATAAAAGTTTGTACATCAAGGGTTACACCCTCTCACTTGAGGGGCGGGACCCACTGAAATAATATTTTTTTATATGAGTGGACCCCACCCCCCATGTGAGTGGGGTATACACCGTGATGTATACCGTGATGTACCCGTAGTTTTTATTTGAGTGGATCCCACCCCCATGTGAGGGGGTGTAACCCCCGATGTAACGCTCGATGTACCACATGTTCGTTTTTTAGCACGCCTTCGAATTTTGGACCCGATGAAATCCCATGGAATTCTGAATATATATTTTCACATGAAAGTAGACCCATCTGCTATATGGAAAAGTTAAAAGTTATGTCATTTAAAACTAATTTCAACCTACATCACCAACCTAAATCCCTTCCATTCTTCCACTACTCAATAGAGTACCTCGTATTTTTCCTCACTCATAACCCTAACTTAACCCACCGACGCCACCGTCATAGGGGCGAAGCCAAGGGACAAAAAAATAATAATAATAATTGGGTTTGGGGGCAGGTCTAGGCTCCGCCCTTGATTGTCACCCTACCAATATAGGCTACCATCATCGCATCGTTGTCGTACAATCATCACCAGAGTCACCACCACTTTACAAAACCCTAACTTAACCTACCATCACCCCGCCACGATAGACTACGGCCAACGTGTTGTCGCCATACAATCGCAAACACCTCCTTGTGTTACCATCACCTATTATACCTTCACAACCATTATTTATTTTTATTTTTTTTGTTCTACCGCACTCATCTTCCACCACCGCGAACGCGTTCCACCAACGCTTGGTGATTTTGGGGGGTATTTTTTAATGAGGTGGTCCCGAGGACCCACCTCATGTGAGAGCAGGCTAATCCATCTTAAAGAATGGCTGCCATTAGTCATTCAATTATTTCCCCTTTTTTAAATACCAAATGTCCATTTTTTT